ATAGGTGTGTAGAGGATGATGGCGATGGTGGCGGTGAAGATGCAAGATCAATAGCAATGGCGGCCACCTTCTCATTGTCACTATTATCATTGGATGATCCACTTGATGAATCAATGTCCGTGAGCCAATCACCGGCAATGTAGGCCTTTCCACTCTTCTTCTTCTTGTAGAAGTCCCTCTTCTTGCCATCTCTCTTCTTGTATGGCTTGTTCTTTTTCTTCTCATCTTCATCTTCATTACTTGAGTCATCTTTCTTGCCCTTGTTCTTGTTCTTGAACTTGTCTTTCTTGGGCTTTGTGCATTGATGAGCTAGATGGCCAAGTTCGCCACAATTGTAGCAATCCATCTCGGAGATTGGCTTTCTTCTTGAGCTAGTGAAGAACTTCTTCTTGCCGTCAAACTTGATGCCACTCTTGTTTAGCTTCTTTAGCATCTTGGCGGTCTTCTTCACCATGAGAGCAAGACTTTCTTCATTAACTTCATCTTCACTTGAGCTTTCATACTCAAGTCTTGCCTTGCCCTTCTCTTGGCTAGCTTTGAATGCTAAGTCTTTGTCTTTATTCTTGTTTGAGGATGAACCATCTTGTGGCGTGATGTGCATGTACATCTCATGAGCATTGATCTTTCCCAAGATTTGTGTCGGTGTAGCGGTGGAAAGATCACCTTGGTGTAGCACGGTCACAATATGCCCATATTTGTCAATGGGGAGGACACTCAAGATCTTTCTCACAACGTCGGATGGTGACATTTGAGTAAGTCCAAGCCCATTGACTTCCTCTACAAGAACATTTAAACGTGAATACATCTCATTAGCACATTCTTTGGGAAGCATCTCAAATAAATTTAGCTTTTTAATCACAAGATGATAGCGCTCCTCACGCTCAGTCTTGGTTCCCTCATGGAGCGCACAAACGTCCGACCATAGTGCATGGGCGTCTTTGTGGTTCCTTACGCGGTTGAACACATCTTTGCAAAGGCCTCTAAAGATGGTGTTGCGAGCCTTTGCATTCCATTTTTCATAGTTCACTTCATCGCCTTGAAGTTGTGCGGGATTCCTAGGTCTTGGGAACCCATGAGAGGCGGCTCTAAGTATTCCAACGTCTAGAGCTTCTAGGTACACCTCCATGCAAATTTTCCAATATGGAAAATCATCCCCCTCGAAGATAGGAGGAGGTCCATCCCCGTGAGACATCTTGCTCTAAGCGATTAAGCTTAAAAGCGTGAGCACGAGGCTCCGATACCAATTGAAAGGATCAAGATGCCCAAGAGGGGGGGTGAATTGGGCTAATTCTAAATTTTCTTGCAATAATTAAATCCTATGGTTAGCCCAATTAACCCCTTGTGCCTTGAAGAGTGTTTCTAATAAACTAACGCACAACGGACTAGCAACCTATGTTCCAAACTTACTCTAGCATGGCAATTCTATGAATGTAAAGACAAGTATTGAATTGCTCAAAGTAAATGCTCAAAGTAAATAGAGAGAGAGAGGGGAACGCGGTGATGTTTTGCCGAGGTATCAGAGAGTCGCCACTCCCCACTAGTCCTCGTTGGAGCACCCGCGCAAGGGTGTAGCTCCCCCTTGATCCGCGCAAGGATCAAGTGCTCTCTATGGGTTGATTCTTCGACACTCCGTCGCGGCGAATCACCCAAAGCCGCTCACAACTTGAGTTGGGTCACCCACAAGCTCCGCCGGGTGATCACGAAGCTCCCAATCACCACCAAACCGTCTAGGTGATGGCGATCACCAAGAGTAACAAGCACGAACTCTCACTTGACCACGCGAAGCCTAATGAGAAGATGGATGCACACTTGTCTACTCTTGATTCACTAATGAGGCTACTCTCTTGGATTCTCAAATCTCAATCACCTCACTAGGACCTTGCTCTTCTTGGCACTCACAAACGTGTTTCTCAGCTGTTGAAATGAGCAAAAGTGCCTCCACACACGAGTGGAGGTTCTATTTATAAGGCAGCCTGAAAAACGAACCGTTATATGCCTCTGCGGGGTGACCGGACGCTCCGGTCATGTTGACGGACGCTCCGGTCAGTTCAACCCGCATACCAGTGAAAATGTATTGACCGGACGCTGGCAGGGTCCGGTCACCCTTGACCGGACGCGTCCGGTCGCATTAAACCCTTACTGGAACCTTACTGTACTCGACCGGACGATGAATCCTTAGGGTCCGGTCAGTACTGACCGGACACGTCCGGTCGAAGATTCCCTTCTCTGGAACCTTACTGGAGTCGACCGGACGCTGCCTCTCAGTGTCCGGTCACTTGACCACTCCAGCGTCCGGTCGCACCGAACGCAATCTCTTGATCAAATGAACTGACCGGACCCTGCGGCCAACGTCCGGTCGCACCGGAGCCAGCGTTCGGTCAGTATTTGACCCTCCATTCACCTTCAACTCTCGATCATGTGTGAATAAAGTTTGCTCCATTGGATCTTAGGCATATGTAGGAGCTACCTAGAGCTAGTTTAAACAAGTGTGCACCACACCTAACTCACTAGACTCATCTAGGTCAAGCTACCCGTCCATACCCCCCTTAATAGTACGGCCAAAGGAAAAACAAAGTCCTAAACTACTCTAAGTGTCGCTCCAACTCCAATCGACACTTAGAACTAGTCATCCTTAACCTTGTCATTCATCCTTTGAAAACCGAAACGATTTCCATCGTAGGGGCATGACCACCTCGATTGCCCAATCGATCTCCATTACCATGACCTAACTTAATTGCCTCTGCAAAACACACGTTAGTCATAGTAATCTTGTATTATCATTAATCACCGAAACCCAACTAGGGGCTTAGATGCTTTCACTGGCCAACAGTTACCAGACCGAAAGACCTTGGTGGTTTAGGTGTTCCTGACCTTGATAGATTTGGGAGAGCCCTCCAGTTGTGCTGGCTTTGGCAAGAATGGGTGGACGACTCCAAGCCTGGGAGCGGCTCAGAGCTTCCATGTACTGATGTTGATCGTCTCCTCTTCAACTCCTCAATCATTATAACTTTGGGGGATGGTGCAAAGACTAAGTTTTGGCACCATAATTGGCTTGAAGGACAAGCTCCAAGATACCTAGTACCGAAATTGTTTCGCCTTGTTTCAAGGAGAAACCGAACGGTGCAACAAGAGCTCCGGAACAACAATTGGATGCGCTCGCTAGGAAGGAAAATCACCTCGGCTGTCAACATAGAGGAGTTTGTGTTTCTTTGGATACGAATACACGGCGTACACCTACAACAGGGCGTTCAGGACTCCATCATCTGGCAATGGACCCAGGATGGGATTTACTCCACCGCTCGGCTTACAGAATTCAATTCAAAGGCTCGCTCGTCCCCTTCCGTACGGAACTCATTTGGAAAAGCACAGGTGGAGAACAGATGCAAGATCTTCGCCTGGATTTTAGTGTAAGATAAAATTCTTACGGCGCAAAACCTATAAAAGAGAGGGTGGCCACACCAACAACACTGCGTGCTGTGTAACGGTCCCTTAGAAACCGGCCATCACCTATGCCTATGTTGCCCTTTTGCTAAGGCGGTTTGGGATCAAATCATCTTTTGGGAAAACTTCACTCACCTGCAACAGCAACCCCAGGCAGACCCCATCCATATCATGGCATGGTGGGAAGAGGCGGCAAGGAAAGTGCAAAAATCTGAACATAGACGACTTAACGGGGTAGTAATCTACACCTTTTGGAATATTTGGAAAGAGAGAAATAGGAGAATTTTCAACAACAAGATAGAAACGGTGCCGCAAGTAGCCGCAAGGATAAAGGAAGACATAGAGCAAAGGAAGAGAGCATTCGCTTATGTTTAGCTATTGTTCCCCCGTTGAGGTGTGTGTTTCCCTCCTTTACCTCCTTCGGGGGGCTTGAAACCATCATCTGGAGTGTCCTTGCTCGTACATAAACTATCTTTCCCTATCTTAATCGAAAGACGGAGCTCATGCCATTGCATTAAAAAAAAAGACTGCAACCAAAAAAAACCTCCACGGGACAGACGAGGTGGCGAGGTTTTGTTTTTACGGCCTGCTGGTGTGGACAGGCGAGGGGGCGAGGGATTTTTTTTTAATACGAACCAGTTGTTCGTGCAACCACTGCGGTCACAATCCAGCTTTATAGCAACACAGAAATGTCACCAATGTTCGCAATCCAGCTCGGGTGCTACTGAGGCCACCTGACCACCCGGGCAGGCGCCCGTTCGCGTGAGGCTGCAATCAGAGATGCAAGAAAAACAAAATCACCAAGGATCATATTATTCCCGGTAAAATATCGACCACTAAGATAAAAATTTTCACATGTATATAACAAAATCACCAAGGATCATATTATTCCTGGTAAAATATCGACCACGGATGTAAAGTTTTTTCACATGTGTATGTCCTGATGCCAATAACCTCGAGAACAATCCAAATTGCTAGTTATGCTACCGTCAATGAACTAAAACAAATCCCATTCAGTTTTGCAAAGGCTCTCCTGTCAGAAAGCAAGTTTGGCACCAATCTCAACACGAGGGGTTTCCGGACAACCTGAATGAGTATACTGTTCCTGCCACTGATCAGTACATAACCACTGCATTCAGATTTCAGAGAGATTTGTTTCATAGGGCAGCCCAGAGCAGGATGCTGTAAATTTAGCAGCTACATCGAAGGAAGTATTCAGCACCACACTGCAAGAATTTCATCAGCCCAGGTTAAACATTGAGCCAGTCTTGGCTATTCTCAACTCTCACTAGATCACAAAAGCCTCTCAATATGACTTCTGTGACAAATCAAATACTTGCAGATTCATTATAATAAAGCTCTGCCTTTTCTTTTCTAAAAAAAAAAATTACATATACAGCCATATTTCTTCAGTTGTTTCGGCTCAATAGCATCAACATATTTCCTACCGGTCACCTTAATTAAACAAATACAACATGATACAGCTGCCAGCTAACATAGCACTGTATAACTCTCCACTAGAATGCCGTACCGGCAGTAGAAACGAAAAAACGACAGCTTCAGCCACGCTGTTTCTTCGAGCTAGGTAAATCATCATCAAAGTGACCACCATCTTCCGCCCCATCTTTCTCGCCCTTCTTCCTAGCCAGGATCTTGTTGATCTTGTGGAGGTCATTCGTGAGCTTCTGGTCCTTGTTCTGCTTCCTAGTCTTCCTGCCGTCCTGCATCTTCACCCCAAACTGGAAGGCAGCCTTCGGCATGGCTTCTTTCTGATCGTTGTACTTGGCCCACTCCTCTTCAGTCTCAAAGTCCCACCTGTGAAGACGGCCCTTTGCCTGCTCAAGAATCGTATATCAGAACACACTACAGAGATTATCCAAAAGCGCCAGCGAGAAATTTTTTTTGTATCTTTCCACAGCAGATGTGACCATGGGCTTCAGTAAACCATTTAAAACCAAAAGCCACAATCTATATCACAACTGAACAATAGAAGAAGTACAGGCTAAACAACCAGAACATAGTAATATCAGGACAACAGTCTTGGAATTATGCTCAAATACCAGACAGAACAGTAACTAAAAAGATCTCACAAAAACAGCTAGAACACTTCACTGTTAGTTTTCAGAATATTCAAATACATAATGAAGAAAAATGTGCAGAAATGAGTTATTAGTGCAAATCAATTTAAAAGCAAATGCAACATAATAGACATTAACTAAGTGATGCCTAGCCTATCCATTTCACAGAAACCCATGTCACAAGCATAGGCTTGCATTTGCAAGGGAACTTTTTTGTTCATAAGATCTAAGTCATTTCACTTACCCGTCCACCCATATCCATCTTCGATAAATCATCTTCATCATCGCTTCCTGCAATCTCATTATTATACTCCTGGTAACCAGGATAACACTCTGAGTAACTATCTGAAATAAAATTTGGATCTCTCTCCCATGCATCTTTTTCCCTCAGTTGATTAAGCCTTTGATCATCACGTTTGAAAACAGAACCTAAACCCCGATCCTTGTCTGCTTGAGTCATGAACCTCGGATCCTGGGATATACTAGGGTCAGCTAACACATCGTATTCCTGGGTGCTTTGCTGCACATACTGTTCTGGATAACCCAACTGCTGTTCTGCATACACATAGCTTGACCAGTCACCTTGATATCCAGCAGCTGCCATCTGGGCTTGAACAGCATCATACCCGTTCTGGCACCAGAAAAGACACCAAATATTAAGACCAAGTTGAATAAAAAGCAAATAAAACTAAAAACAGGTTATAGCAGGCCATGAACATGGAGAGATAACAAATACACCGCCAACCTCTAACATTCAGTGCACAGCTAAGTCACTTAACATTTATAGGCATACCTGCTGTTGCCAAGCTTGAGCAGGTTCAGATGATGGTACTGGGCCATACATGGGTTCAGTGAAATTGGACTGCTTCTGATGGTTATGTGGGGATTCATCCATATCAGAAACAGGGCTCTGACTTATTTCCTTGTTAGGAACTGAATAGTCAACTCCATCTCCAACAAAAATGTCATCATCGTCTGCTCTTGCAACAGGGACTGGTTGTTTCTCCTTTCCATTGAAATTATTGTTCCGAGGGGTTGGAGCTGGTGGTGGTGGCATATCTGATTGATGTTTCAGAGTAGAACCATTAATTTGGGAAGGTTTTACTGACTCATCATAGTCACCACTTGCCAAATTGCTCTTCCCTGCATATAGCAAACATAGTACCTTAACCAGCAAGCACATGAAGATAATCCTAAAAATAATACTAGCAATACAATTGAAACAAAACTCATGCACCCAGACAAAACTAACAACTTTACTTTTAGTTCAGTTGTGCTGTCCTAACGTCATGTTATCATGACAGGATGGAGTATATAATATAACTAAAAATGTGTTAGTCCTTCCAAACAAAACACTTTAGCATATTTCCTAATGTATTTACCATGAAAGTTTTCCTGTTCTCAGATTCTAACTTAACAATATCCCTAGTATATAATTTATTCTCATGAACAAACCTTTTATATCTCTATCCTTTTTCTTTTTCTTCAAGACCTTCCCCGATGATCCAAGCCGAAGGTATGTCATAATTTTAGCAATCCTGTCAAGTACAGAACCATCCACGCTGACAGTTACCATCTCCTGCAAAAGTAAGGTCATAAGAAAAGTTACAAAACACTCCAACATGTGATATGTCATCATATTGTCAGAATACCTCTGGAACCGGGCAATCAGCTTTGCTCCTATGAAGAGTTGTTGGAATATCATTGGTTACTCCCTCCTCCTGATTGGATTATAAAAAGATAATTACTATGCTTTATAAACAAAAATGTTCAAACCCAAAGTAAAAGGAGACAGATGAAATGATACAACAAAAGTTCGAATACAAAAGAAAAGAATTCGACAATACTGGCAACTTCGTGAGAATAAGCTGTTCTGGCCCACCCTACTCTATTCTTCTAAGAAAACCTATGGAAAGGATATGATTTCTTGTTTGTGATTCGTGGTTGCTATGATGCACCTTAATGACAATCAAATTCACACGAACAGCAAATCATGCCATCAGGGATAAAGTAAATTAACACACTTGAATATAATGGAGCATAATAAAATCACAAGACTATTCAGTTCCCAAGTGAGAAATTCAGGAAACTGATTGTTCTGCACTCAGGTGATCAGCAGAGAAACAGACAATTTCTTATCATAGAATGAAACATAATCATGCATTTCATATACTGCAAAAGGCAACAAAAAATCATAGGATATGTGTGTTAAATTCTCAGAATAAGAAGGTTAAATATGAATATCTAAGTAAACCAATATATAAACATAATCTCAATTTCTCAGAGTGCTTTGGGTATTTATACATAATACCATGTCTGCAAGTATAAATGAACACTGATGGGTGATGAAAATACAATAATGCATGCATCTGGTCATTTCTGAGAAAAATAGGAAATTTTAATGCCTTAGTTTGTGATTTGCAACGCATGAATATTCTGAAATGTATTATAACGAACTCCATTATGTAATGAAGCAAATATATTATTATAGTTTATAGGAATACTTTTAAGGGGATTACCATGTTGTAAATAAATGACATCCGACCCGGAAGAAACAATTCATTCTCCTTAATTATGCTTTGAGGCCTTATGATCCATTGGTAGACAGACTGCAACCAACAAAGAATGAAAATCAATAGCCATGTTGTATTAACCATTAATGTATGAAGGAAAAAAAACTCACTGAAAAGTGATAAATAAAAAAGAAACATACCTTTGCAGTTGCAGTGCGGAAGGAGACTGCCTGATCTTCTTTTGTTGCCCTGAACAACAAAAGTGAAAGATAAATGTTATGCTCCCAAAGCACTAGGTGCATCCGGAGTAGAAACATGAGGTGTTAACAAGTGTTGTTATATCTGAAACTGGGAGATGGATGGATATTATATTTGTAGCACACGGTGGTGCTAATGATGGCAGAAAATGATATTTCGCTGAGATAATATTTACTTATTTAGTTACTTACACACATTCCAAATGGAACACAGCATTATTGATTGTACAAAGAAAAAAGACCTTACACGAATCTGAGTTAGCATGCTAGCAAACCAGTTGTGCACAATGGCTTCAGGAATACTGTCAAAGTTATGTAGTACTACAAGTGATCGAAATGCAAAATATCACAGGAGGCACAACCCCTTTCTTAATTTACATTAGCAATTTACAGGAACAAGAAATTTATTCACAAATAAAACTCATAAAATTCAAGAGGAAAGAAATTGGATCTATTAAATCAACTCAAACTCCAAAACTTTGGAGGTAGCCGAAAATTGTTCGGTCCATATCATTGAGTCATCATGGAAAAAATTCTGTACTGGCATACTACAGCATTCGAAATACAAACTGCATACTACAGCATTCGAAATACAAACTGCATACATGACAGTCACTATTATAGGCATACTACAGCATTCGAAATACAAACTGCATACATGAATTTTTCAACCCTAATTGACGTTACAATCATATAAGGCGAAAACTGTGATAATGTGACATAAGGATGGCAATTACCTTGACTTTGCATCCTTCCCATCCTCTGCATCAGGTTTCTTTTCAATTTCACTCCGTACTTTGTGAAGTAGAGCATAGTCCAAGCCCTTGACCAGATGTGTATGCTCCAAATCGCCTTAAAAGCATAAAGTGGAAATGGAATGTCAATCAAAGAGCAGCTCATAGGATGGAAACATAAAGAGAGGCATCTGAGACTCTGAGTCACCAGCCAATATCCAATATATAGTGTCACCTTCTCTACCTTTATTTTCTATTACAGGAATTCATGAATGACTGATTTCTTCTTAGGTTAAAGGATCAAGTTGGTGCTAACTCTTCACTTGGAGAAAATGATGTTCTGAAACTGAGAACATCATGCATTACCAATTTACCAAATTTATAAGACTATGTTAAACAGCACTCATTTTTACAGAAGTCATGATTCAGACAGCTCGTGCACAGGTATGCCCACTTGTTCATACACATAAAAAGCAGTACAACACAGAAGTAAGGAGACATGCCAAAGAGAGTTTCGCCACAAAAAGGAAATTATCTCCTTAAAGAAAGTATAGAATCACAACCAACCTCCGAGATATTTGCTTTTCTCAATTGAAATCTTGTGGGCATCAGCCAGCCTGTGACACAAACATTGCAGAGATTAGGATTCCAGGGAACATAGAAAAATAAACTAAGCACTGATGGAAGTGCCAGATAAATGAACATGTGATCTATTACCTCAAATCAGTCCCAGGAGGTGCCACTGCATGAAATGAACCAAGTTCTGTAGGTTCATAATCTGGGTTTTGATCTTCACGACGCTCCTTAGCACGATCACGATACCTGGGTGTCTCTGGTTCTTCTTTTTTCTCCTCCTCTCTGAATGGAAAACAAGAGGTATTTAGGTTCGCCAAATCACTTATATACAGTAAGTAACATGAGTTCTAGTTTGCATCTAATTTGTCTTATCAGTTACTACTTTAACATGATTACAGATTCTGGTACATATCCTAAAAGGCTGAAATAGTGTACAAATTCTATCCAAGACCATCATAGTCCCTAAGTGTGGGATCCTGAATATTTTCATAACTCCCTTGTTTTAGCACTTCAGCCATTTTAATGCAGTTCCTCTGCATCAACAGCTTAATTTCGTAGACATGGATAGTATATTATTACAGATACAAACATAATGATGATTATTTGGGATTTCGCAAAAGAGTACAAGTAAAAGTGAATCACCACCAAAGGGTGAAGATAAATGCAAGTAATGTAGCAGATGGACTATGTGACTAGAGGGTTAAGCTACAACAACAGCACTGGTTGCATTTTAAGTTCCAGACATTCTGGTAATCGTGTTACAACTACAGTAAGAAATTAACAGCACCATCAACAGCTGCGGTTTCCCTGATAAATTTATCTGCATAATAAGTTTCAGACATATGAAACAGATAAGTTCTCCGTTTTCCAGCCTCATTCAAAACTTGTTTGCATCATGAACAGAAAGACAGCTATAATTGGGGGGGGGTGAAGATTTGACAAGAACTAGCTACAGTAGGTTCCTTCTTCCAAAGAGAGACAGCTCTAATTCTACTGTCCAAGCACATATTGACGGAACAAATGAAAGCAAATGTACGGTGGAGCGCTTACTTCCGCCGCATCATCTTCTCCTTATAGTAGTTCTTCTTCGACGACATACTATCTCCCTCTCTTCTGTATCCCTAGAATCATTTGGGGGAGAAATTAGAACCTCGACGCAAAAATTATAGGCCCGGCTCACAGACTCGCCCGGAGACTCGGTCTTAGGGTACCTGCTCACAGTAGCTACGGCAGTGGAAGATGGGAAGGAGCGAGACAACGGAGCTTGACAGACGGGAGGCAGATGGCGGCGGCGGCGGCGGACGGCGCCGCGGCGGGAAGCGGAGTGCCGGACGCGAGACGGGCTGTGGCCGGCGGGAAACCCGAGCGGCGGTGGGAGACGGGACGGAGGCGCCGCGCGGGGATGGGTGGAGGCTGCCAGGCTGGAGAGGCGGCGGGAGACTGGCGCGCCGGTGCGGCAGTGCGGCGGTGCCGGAGTGACTTTTTCGATTTGGCCCTCGGATTCCTCAGCTGTTCGCAGCCGCAGAAGCTGAGCACCGAGCACGGGATGACGGGACACGGGATCAGGATTCTCTGTTGCTGAGTCACCTGACGACACGTATTCTAGTGTGCTGGATCGAGATCGCACAATGGCCGCCGCGACGGCAGTTGAAGCACCCGTGTACTGTACACGGCGATGAAGAAAGCCTTGTGGTCGAGGAGCGTGTCCGTCCACCTCGAGGAACCGAGGAAGCCAACCACAACGCCGAGGCGACTCAGGACACTGCCCTGCTCTCACGCCTTCCATCAAAAGTTCAGAAACTGCATCTTCTTCGGCTGACTGTCCATGTCTCTTCCCTCAAACTCTTCTGTGCCAGATAGAGGCAGCAGGAGCTGGAAGCATGCCCCTGCCAGAGGGAGCAGCAAGTCCATCAGGAACCGGAAAAGCGATGATCCAGTGCAGGGATTTTTTTTTTTTTTAAGAAATGGTAGGAGTTCTACCGCTCAATTAGAAAAAGAGTTTTACGTACACATGGCACTCTAGGTGCCTGATCAAAAGAGGAAAAAACGTCACTCTGCTAGTTAGCCTCCACATCAAAATTCATAGTCCTATGTCTTCGCACTATATTCTCTTTGGTCGAGTAAGCGATCTGCTGCACCGTTTGGAACACATTTTCGAATATCCTCCTATTTCTAAATGTATCCCCGTCTCCAAAGAGCTGTTACACAAGACACAATGGTCCTCATGGGTAGATTATCCGCCATTAGGATTTTATTGTGTAGGAGGATCTAGGCGTGAATTTTGCACTTATTCTCTACCCGCGCTTTCCATGTAATTGTGTCCTACACGTTGGGCTCTAACTGCAACCCCTACAATCTGATTCATAGGCCGACAAACTCCTGGACCTGTAATGTCGATGTGCTGCGTGTACGTAGTGATCTGATCCAATTACCGTTGTTCAATTCTTGGCGAACCGTTCGTGCGCACCAGTTTGAATAGGTTCGGCGCCAAATATCTCGGCGCCTCTCCCTCTAACCAACCGTGGTGCCAGAAGCGCGCCCTGTTGCCATCACCAATGATGACCCTAGTGGAGGCATTGAAAAGCAGACGATCCATGTTGTTGCACAGCACGTCCGTGCCTACCCAAGGCTTTGGATCATCTCCCCACCCCTGCCAGAGCCACCGAAGGCGCAAGGCTCTCCCAAACCTGTCCAAGTCCGGCACACCCATACCCCCAACTCCTTGGGCCCGCAAACCGTCGGCCAATTCACCAGACAGTGTCCCCTATTGGCGTTCTCCTCTTCTTTTCAAAGGAATGATCTTCTTATTTTATCAATCTTCTTCCTAGCCCACACCGCTAGCGGGGACACCATGAGATGGTAAGTAGGCATTGAAGAGAGCACCGTGGTGACTAAAGTTAGCATGCCTGCTCTATTCATCATCTTTCCTTTCCAACGTGGCAATTTCTGGTCAATGCGCTCAATGAGTGGCTGCATGTGGACCTTTTGTAGTGATCTTGTATGTAGCTGCAGCCCAAGTACCTGCACGGGAAAGATTCTCTTGTCCTTGTGAATGAGGCCAAGACATGATCAAAGTCAACATCTTGTCGTCTGATTGGGTGCTTTTTCTAGGGTTTATGTGCGGCCCAACACTCTGCCGAATTCATGTAGGATAGTCATGGTGGCTTCTAGATCCTCCTTGTTTGGGTTAAAGAAAATTGCTACATCGGCATACATATATAAACAATAAAATCCCAAACCCTCTCTGCTGTCTGCTCTGCCGGGAATCGGATCGACCAAGAGTCCAAGACAGATTAGCAGCACTAAGCTTGGTCATCTGTTCCAACTAGAGCGATCTGAAAAGAGCACCTTTACTTTTCTCTTCAATGTCAAACCAAAACTAACACGAAAGCAGTGTCATACCGCCATTTACGCAAGCATGGAATGTTATTATATTGAGCATGTAGATGGGCATGCTGCATGCATGAACAACTAACACAGTAGATGGTCACTGCCTAGCACTCTTTTGGGAAACCATAAAACATGTACAACTGGTTCCATCTCAAATTCCGTGGCAAAAATAACCCGATGTGAGGCCTAAGCAACATAGAGTTCTGCCTACTTTTTTTTTTCTGTCAAAGGATAAAGCAGAGTAACACTGCGGTAACTTCTCTCGATGTGTACCCATGCAAGCTATGAACTCTACTGAAGAAACATGAACAATCTTCTTGAGCAGAAGCACTCCAGCTGGAAAACCAAATCAGTCTTTTGCGTCCATGATTCCACCTGATGTAACCTGGAAAACGTGCTATTGGTCAAGGGAAACAAGTTTCATGTAATATCACATTGATAATTTGTATCATCTAACATTCGGTCATGGCAGCTAGCACTTAGCAGGTAAGGTTCGCTATAACACTAGAGTTTGCTATGCAGGTCTAAGCAAGGCAATTTAGCTAGATTTTAGCAAGCTTTGAAAGTAAGGCAACCATTAACGCAAGCAGTAAACATGGACCACCAAAGCAAAAGGATATAGCTTCTCCTTCAGGAAGGTTAGGAGCATCGAAGATCTTGCAGACACGCTGCTCGCCTTTGCCTTTCCTCAGCATCAATCTGATGGTGGCAGCATGCGCCAACACATGGCCTCCTGCTGGTTTCTTTGGATCGGTTATGAACATGCCGCCACCTGGATCAGCGATCACTGCAACACAAAAAGGGAGAGCTTAGAATTTGAAGTTCATTGATCTGTAAACTCTTGAAATTGATATATATACAGTGCTAAATAGCAAAGCCCACCTTGGTTGGTGATGTACACTGCAACATTGAACTCCTCGGCAATCTTGGTAAGGCGGGACAGCATCTGTGCTAGCTTTTGCTGCAATTCCACAGCAGGTAAACATAAGCAAGCAGACAAAACGACACCCTTCAACATTTTTACGAGGTGCCGACTGCCATTGAAATGAATTGATGGGAATACCTGGCGCTCTGCAAGTTCACCCCTGCCACTGAAATCAACACGGAATAGTGCAATCACAGAATCCACAATCTGTTTCAGGATGATAGAACTACCACATGAGCACGACTCTGATTATCAAAAATCAATGCACATTACAGTTTCATGCCTACCAGAAGCCTGAAAGGTTCTTCAGCCATCTTGGCAGCAAGGCCCAGGAGTAAGTTGTACTGGTGCTCATAGGTGTATGCACGAGCATATATGATCTAACCAGAAACAGACATAAAATGAAACAGCCAATTTGGTCTATTAGTGGTGAAATGGGCTAATAGAAACGAGAAATGTTAAATGCATGGAATTCATACATTGTCGAGAACAGCATTGGCATCCATCCCAAATCTCTCAGCAATTGGCACAATGCGTTCAGGTCGGCTGAAAACTTCATTAAGGAAACAATTTGGAGATGACAGGAATAAATATAAACTCTTGAGAGAATCAGCTTGACAAATTACTCAAGAAATTCCAAAGATACAATGTTCCCTCAGTGTCAATGTAGGCAACCTTCCCATTCCCCCCATGCATGTGGATTGGAAGCTGCATTTTCATCAGTCAGAAATAAGAAAGTAGTTCAGTTGCTTCTTTGTTTCCTCAAATTCTATTGCTTCTATATTTCCATGGTCTAGGTGCTATCTACAAAACTTGATGCGGGGAATGAACCTGAGTGGAGACACATAGTGTATGAGCCAACTGGGTCTTCCCTGACCTGCAAGACAACCAGATGACATATATTTCAAACTAAAGCTAGAACTGAACTCAGAAATATCATTACGTTCAAAAAAAGAACTGAACTCAGAAATATAGTTACAAAAGCACAACATAAGTCAACATTCACTGTGACTATTCCCAGTATATACTTAAGACGTTTCTTTCATTTGCATGTAAGAGGTTTGTGCACGATAGTGTGTTGTATACAATGCCAAATTGCTCCCAGTCCCAGCAATAGAATACAAAGGGAATTGTTTCATATACTGTTCCATTTAGAGAAAACATAGATCCAATCTCCAATCTTAATTTCATTGTCATTAACGAATAATTTTCGCATCAAGAATATGGTGAGAAATTGTATTCATGTGGTTAAGTTAGCAAAGCAAAGGCATGGTTACATAGAAACTATAAGTGCTAGCAATACATATAGAAGATGAGACAACAGAAAATGGCGGTACAAGAGGGTTGGAAAGGTTGTATAATCAACCAAAATACAGTAATACATAACTGAGTTAGACCTAAATACATTTATTACAAGTGTGGCCCTATATCATAAATATCAACTATACACATAATATGGCTCCTGCAGCAGAACTTCAGAGAAAAAGAAACAACAGGAACAAGAACATCAACGTACCGGAACTCCCCGAACGCCTCTGTGATGCAAAGTGTTTCAATCCCTCCTTCAAATTTAAACATGTCCATCTATTAGACTAATATAATAGCATGACTGATCACATGACAGATTTCAGATATATTACCGCCAAGCAGCTCATCAAGTGCCTGGCTCCCAGTTGTAATCCGAACAACAGACTTCCGCTTCAAATAAGCCAAAATAAATCAAACAGCCTTAATGGACAACACATATGAGAAGTAAAAGTGCTCAACTAGATTCAATAACTAATCAACCTTTGTCAGTTAGTTTACGTATTTACAAGCAGTCAAGCATTGGTTATCACTCATCAGACACACCAAAGTGGTAAACCATATACCAATTAGTATCTTAAATGCAATTTCTTACCTTAAGAAGGAGATCATTTCCTGTCATGAAGCCCTGGTTCTGTGACAAACAAGAAAGAAGAGAATTTCAAGATAATATCATACAGAACTGATTGCATGGAAGTTTAGTAAGCAAAAGCAACTTAAAGGATCAGACCAGAAGTTTTTCAGCTGCCTCGCAGATCTTATCAACTTTTGCTTCGGATAAACCTTTGATTCCTGTAAGGTTCTGCAAGACAATCCATAAATTAGAACAACAGCCATATGTTCAGAATATTGAACAAATGAAAGCAAGCATGCAAGTGCCACAAACAAGATATCAATTTAAGCACCGTGCAGCAAAAATTCAGACAAACAGAACAAAGATTTGGGTATTGGGATGCATAGTTCAGAACCTTCTTGGTATGCATCATTAGGCCATTGCAAGTGTAAATCCCTGCATCCTGCAGCTTCTTCACGTCTCCTGCATTTATCCCCTGAGATATCACTGTGCCAAAAAGATGTATGCACCACAGATTAGCTTGAATGCAGGATTTATATATGCTGAGAACTTAAATTAATAGCGTTGAACCACACAAATGGAAAATGCAACACAACGTGAATCCTGTTTCCCAACAAAATATGAACCCAAGCCTAAAGCCTAAAACCCTGAGTGCCCAAGTGCAACGGTAGCACACAGAGATTAAAACGACCTAACCGCATAACTTCAATCAAACGTGGGGAAAAGTAACCCCACCAATTTATGCCACAACGCATCACTAGTTTATTCCCAAAATCCTCGAAATTTTGGGGAATCAGAAGGGGCACAAAACCCCACTACGCGCAAAACCAAACAAATGCCGACACCAAGCTCAAATCACAACAACTTCACTTCGAAGCAGCACCAATACGGACCGAAATTCCAGAACCCAAAAGCGAAACGGCAGAATGCAGAAGCGATCCGCCGTCCTCGGCGAGTGGAGCATCGATCGATCAGAGAGGTACGACACAAAGGGAGATAATAATTGCTAGAAAAAAGTATTCCACACAAAAGTCCCAGGATAGAACGAGCTAATTTCGAATTCCACTGCACTTTGCTGACCATTTTGACAGAGTGAAGTCGGGGATCGTGAACTCAGACTGAGCCTAAATTCAGACCAATCTATGCAGAAGTAACGGTAGCACACACTGATTAAAATTAAAACGAACTAGCCGCAGGATTTCGATCAAACGTGGGGAATACTAGAACCCCACGAACTCATGCCATGAACAGCAAAACCCCAACTAATTTTGGGGGAATCAGAAGGAACGCAAAACCCCAACTACGGGCACCCAACAAAAACAAACAAATGCCGACCCCAAGCACAGATCCCACGAACTTCACTTCGAAGCAACACCAACTCGGACCGATATTTGCGAACCCAAAAACGAAACGTCAGAAGGCGGAAGCGATCCGACCGCCGTAGCGGAAGGCGACTGCAGCATCGATCAGGGTGGTAGCATAGGAGGCCGCGCGCGCGGAACAAGTAATGCGGGATGCGGGAGGCCAGAAGGGAGGGGAGAGGGCGCGACGTACGCTTGTCGATGGACTCGAAGCACTCCTCCTCGTCCTCGACCCTGTCGGCGTCTATGAGCTGGAGCTGCCCGCCCTCGTCCGCGTGCCTGGACGGCGCCATGTGCCTGCAATAGTAGCGCGATCGGGAGACGGAGGAGAAGTTAAGCACGAGCGCGGCGAGTGAGGGACACGCGAACGGCGGGGAGAGAGAAGGGGGAGGAGCGGCGGCGCGTACCTGCGCCAGGAGGAGGAGGCGGTGGCCGCGAGGCGCTAGCGAGCGAGCTCGTGGGGTGGGGCTCGGAGGAGGAGCAAGCGGAGGCGAGAGACTGTTGGGGAGAGAGGGTGTGTCGTGTCTCGTGTGATGCTGTGCCGGTGCGGGGGGTACTTGAAGGCTGGCTACCCGGACTCGTTCTAGGACGGGTCGGGCTTGGCTTATCGTTGGGCTGGGCCAGGAATGGGTTGATGGGTCTCCCCAACCAACAGCCTGTTCGGCCAAGTTCGGCTGGGCTGAAACGATCGTAATTATTACTCGGCGCATTCGTTTTGGTACGTGGCGCGTCAGAACGATCGTAAATTTTTAGTTGGAATAGTATTTTTCTCTCACACAAACCAGCCAACAGTACTTCTTTACGAATCAACAACGAAACGAACCAGCCAACCGAACAGGCTGACTGCTGATGGGTTTGGTGTGAGAGCTAGAAATTTAAGATCGTTTACGGCGAGCGAAGTTCAGCCTAGATTAGTATCCGTCACTGACTGCCATGGGATGGGCCGACACGATGAAGTGGACCTGGACTTTGAGGCCCATAGGAAACTTCCATGCCCTCGCAGTCAATTTTGCTTAGCAGTCGTTTCTGCTTTCTACCGTCCGTACACGATCAGGCTGATCAGGCATGATGTCATACCATTACCATATACCGACAGAGAGACATGTTTCTGTATTCGTCAGCTTCCAGCTCGTTCCGATCAATCAACTTGCTTCACCACACCATGATGTTGAACTGTGTCGACATAGGAAAAAGAAAATACCGAACTTGCTATACAACCGACCGACATTCTTACAGTTCGCAACGAACTGTTTACTGTTTACATTTGCAGATTTTTTTTTCTATGATGTACGTATCTTCCATTGAGGCTAACGTGGCACGTTGGACAAGGGCAAAACTCATGTAATCGGCAAGTCGGCATTCAGTTCTACAAGTTCATAACGAGGACCATCTATTCATTCTGCAGTCCAAGCACCGCCTCCGTCTGTCCTCATTCTTCCTGATCATTGCAGGAACCATTATTTGCTGCGCCAGTAAAAGATTAAGTTATTATTCTATACATGATATATCAGTATAAGCCTGTATGTATCACTTCTCCTTCTGACCATTACACGTACGATCACAACTTAGACCTGGGTGCCTCCGCCTCCCGCAACTCTGCATACATATCTGAAATTTCCTTTGCAAAGTATGTCTTAGCTTGCGGTCTTTTGACCTGCAGAGGTATTGGGGATGGGAGTGTAAGCCAGAGCCACTCAGCATTTCATCAGTTGTAAATTTCTTATAGAGTCACCAGTGGGGCCTACCTTGAATGTTGGGGTGAGGAGACCATTCTCCACTGTGAATGGCTCAGCAACAAGCCGAACAGCTTTAGCAAATTCAAAACCTCTTAGCTGGTACAACAGGGCACAGGAAATCAATAAACGATAGCTGCAGAACAGTTTCACTTGGATTGAGCATTAGATTTTGTTACGTAGGTCAGAGCAGAAGAGAGATACCTGCGCTTCCTTCCCAACAGAATCCATATCAGCCAGGACAGCAGCTCTTGCTCTGGGGTCAGCACAAAGCTGTCTCAAGTCTTCGCACTACATGTTAGAAGGGGCAGTTTAGAGCATAAAAACCCTGTGCAAATGTTAAAGACTTGCTTGAAGGTCTATCTGTGCTGAGTTTTACTGTGAGGAACAGTGGACAACATATCCAAGAGAGAAACAGGTTGCAGGCATGAAACACTCAAGGAATGTGCAAGTGACAATAACACGGTAAAGTTGGATAATTTTTATCTAGTGTGATCTATTGAGTGGCAAAATAGTTGAAAAGTAAACTGGCGCTTAAGATGGCAACTAATAAAATTCCACCGGATCTACACTTCCTTTGGACCACAGGCCGCAGCTGAAAACAGAGGATTTAGTGTTCAACAGCCATGCTAAGAGGGAGTGGAAGAGGCTGCCACAGTTCCATTCGATATATGAATCAACCAAAGCATAAGATGGAAAATGAACGCCAGTTTTCATAATTATAAGTTGGATCAGTGTCAGAGTACTTACAGACATTTTTTTTGAAGGATGAAATAAATAGATGGCAAACGTTATGGTTAACATCTTTTACCTGGATCCCTTCAGATGCAGCCCAAGCCTTCAAAACCTCTGGTTCAACTGCAATAATACCAACTAAGGAAGAGTTTAAACTATCACCTGCATCCAAAAGAAGAGATTTAGAACATGCATGGCCATAACTGATGGTCATATAGCCAACATAGAATCAGAAATATTACCATATATAAAACATTGGGCAATGAACTTGCATTTGGCATAAACATTTTCAATCTTCTCTGGAGCTATGTATTCTCCTTGAGCTAACTTGAAAATGTTCTTTTTCCTAGAATCCAGGACAAGATGTAAGGCGTTAGTAATATAGGAAGAAAAATAGTGAAATCAAACAGCACCTAGGGAAAATGCATATCAACAATATAGCCAAGGAAAAGTGTTCTGCAAGAACACAAGTTCTGAATGGATAATGAAGTTTTGATTCCTTGGCCATTTAGTTGTACAGAAAAGCTGTCAAGAGCAAAATGAAGGAATCTTCAATAATTCATTTATATTTTTGGATGGGCTGCACCATTCGTATGTTACAATTCAGTTATGAAGCTTTGTAAGGCTACTAATATTATTGCTATTAATATTATATCAAGTACATTATAATAGAAAATGTATGGACATGAAAGCAGAAAAAAAAAGAGATTCCAGCAAGCTTCGGTTTGTTCAATGAAACTTGTCTCATAAATTTGTCTCCTCATGAAGAATTAGTTCAAACTTGGAATGTCACACATGTCACACCAGACAGTAGGTCTATTCTAGCCCTAGGTTCAAAAGGCTGTAGAGATTATTTTATGATGATTTTAATGGATGTTGTGTGGAGAGTCCAAGAGAACTAAGAATATAAATTGCAAATTATCGTGGCTTACTGAGAGAAAAACATTGTAATCTTAATTCCAAAAGGAAAGCTAAAATATAAAACAGTGCACATTTTTACCTATCAATAATCTTTAAACGCCCTCCAGGTAGCCACAGACCTATGTCTCCAGTGTGCAACCAACCATCTTCGTCAATGACTTCTTTTCTGTAGTTTTTAAATGTATTTATTGATAAATTGCAGTTGAAGCTCATTCAGTACAAAGGTAAGTTTAAGTGAAGGATAGAAATTTACGTTTGAACTTCATCTTTATAGTAACCATGGAATATTATAGGTCCTCTAACACAAATTTCTCCACGAGGATAAGGTTGATCGTCAGACGTATAATTCATTTCTGGGACATCCACAAGTTTCACCTCTGAAAATGGAAAGACAAAGGTCTACATTACGAAACTGTGAAAACAAAGCAAAAGCACAAAGGCATACCCGATTATTTTGGATATGGATGTCATTTGATTAGTGTCATATGGGAAAGAAAATTGACATCTTTCTCAAGAAACAGGCTGCTTTTATTCCAGAAACATGACCCATTCAACATGGTGACCACAGGACCTTGCTAAATGGATGACCTCAAGCACGTTAGACTTAAAACTTAAAAATAACCCTTGAAAATGGATGCAAGGCATAGAAACAATAATTTAGGATAAGTTTGTTCAATGCAACTAATCTCAGTGAACATTTATTGGATTTTCAAAGTACCACCATCAAGGCATCATCAATATAAGATAAGTAACATCCATTTTTTTTTTAAAAAAAACAAATAAAGGCCTACCAACTTTAGCATGGCTTCTCTATGAGTCTATGTATATTATTATATTATAAATTTAATTCATGGACAATATTTTCAACACAAGTGCAAGTTCCAAGCAAATTTATTATATCCTTGACATTGAAACACAGAGCTTACCACAAGATGCAATTGGGGATCCAACATGACCAATTGATCTGTCACCAACATCCATTGCAGATATGATACAGGATGTCTCTGTCATTCCATAGCCTTCAAGAACTTCACCACCAAAGCATCTATAGAAATTTAAACAGTAATTGTCACTAAACTAAATTCCAAAAATCATCCAAGAGAGCTCAGAAGAAGACAACTTACATCCTCAGGAATTCCATGACATCTGCTGCCAGTGGAGAAGCACCTGAACTCATAAGTCTCACTCGTCCACCAAGCCTAGCTTTTATTTTGTTAAATACCAACTTATCCCACACTGGGGATGGATTTTTCCCTGATAGCACAAAGTATAGAAGTGACATTTTATTGTGCATACATGTGATGATGAAAACTGAATTAAAAGGTGGCATCAAAATGTAAAATTAGACTGATTCAGTTTTTTCCAATTAACAGCAATAAAGAAACCAAGAAGATTACTATTTGAAGTTCTGAAACAGAAGTTACGACTACGTGCTACTGCCATATAATGAAGTCCTGAAGAAACTACAAAACCATCATGTATTCATGTTTGCTAGTACCAGACTCCATCCCTTTACATTCTATGAGTGGCCACCAATCTTAGGATGAATGTCATTTGCACAGCAAAACCCAAATGGTTGGCTGCACCATATTCTTGCTTCAAAACTATACACAGAAACAAAATAAAGGATTGCACAAAGTATTCTATTTTCCAAGTAAAACCAGGCTGGTATTAGGATACTGAGGTCATCCTAAAGATCATAAGGTATATACCAAACTAGATAATGCAAAGACACACATGAACAAAAAAAAAAGGCATATTACTTCCCAGTGTGTTTATATACTTGTCATTGTTGACTTTTGCTATTGTAACTTTGACCAGCTTAGTTAGTGCATATTTAAATTCTTATGAATAAAGGCGTGCAAAGTGCAGAGAGAGGGCACGCCCCTTTATTCATAAGAATTTAAATATGCACTAACTAAGCTGGTCAAAGTTACAATAGCAAATAATACTATAGTACTATCTATATCAAATCTACCAATTACATGTTTATTTTACCTAAGTCAGTCATTTGGAAGTTACTATACAAAGTATTTTTGGAGTTATAGAAAATAACTTGGTTTTGTGAAATACTTTGGTTTTAGAGTGCCATGAAGTGTTTCGGTGCAACAAACTTTATGGTTTTCAATACCATGGTATTGCTGAAACTGTGGTCTTTTTGGTGTTTTAAAAACTCCACTCTAGACCTCTTTTTCCTAAACCACGGTTTTGCACATCAATGGTTCTAAAACTACAGTTTCTTGATACTATGGTTTCTTAATACTACAACATCCAAACAAGGCCTAAGTGTTCAAGTTTCGAACGGTAGTCTGCAGTGACAATTTTTTGAAAACAGAGGAAGTATCTTACTTTTTTTTTCTCAAACACGCAGGAGAGCTGCGTATCTTATATTAAAGAGAGAAGAAAATGGTCCCTTCATGGACCCTTACAAACAAACTCCACTAGAATTATCTTACTAGAAGCTACTGGAACGTCGATCATTTTCTTCCATACAGATTGGGTCAATGCTCTTGCCGGCCCTTTTGGGGAAAAAATTGGGTCAAAGTTTCTGCGCAATAAAAAAGGAAAAGAAACCTAGCTACCCAGGAGATCTCCTTTCTACCCAGGAGATCTCCTTACCATTTAATTCACTAAGTTCTGCAAGTAAATTATCCATGTATGACTGATTGACTGTATCAATACTATGCTTCACTATGGATGCAGAAGAAATTCTCATAACTGTTATCAATGTTTTCAAGTCGTCCAGTCGAACCTAGTCGCCATGGGACCGACTAGGACAATTAATCACGATTAATCGCGATTAATCGGACGACTTGTACAAGCCGACGGTACCCCTAATCAGTCAGCAGGGACCGATTAGGACGATTAATCGTGATTAATCGCGATTAATCGGATGACTTGAAAACATTGACTGTTATCCAAAAAAACAAAAGTAAAGGCAACTAGTAGCATACTGTTCTTACCTTTGAGGATTGCTTGTCTCTTGGCATTGTATGCAGTATGAAACAATTTTTCTTTCAGCCCACCAGACTCCTTCACGGCATTTGTAATTCTACACATCGAATAAGAAACTAGTAGTTAGCAGTATGAACAGAACGTATCACTTCAAGAATTTATACCGAACATAGAAGTTAGTGGTATAGTTTTATTACGCAGTATAAATTCTGTTATATAACCGGGGGACACTTGCGAATATTGTCGGTCTCAAAGCAGCCAGATCATCCATGAGCTTCAAATTATCCTGGAATTTAATGTAGTAAATAAAGATGAAAGAGTCATAATGGTAGATTTGTAGGTAACAAATTATGGGATGCAAGTACAGATGCATAACTTAGAAATGCCACATAAAATGTTTGCTTCATACAGACCAACAAATAAACAGGAGATAACCATGCATGGGTATAGTTAACTGGTGTTGTGTGGACACAGGATGTCCACAGCAGGAAAAGTTGATGGTGGGGGAGGTTACAGTGACCACCAAGGGGACATAACAACTGCTACGAGTGAATTTAAATTGATGAAATATTATATTGACGATGAAAGATCCTTCACACTGGTCTACAGCTAGTCTCTGAATTGTCCAAAGCTTTAAAAAAGGTCATCCAAACTAAGAGTAACTCAAGTGCACAATGCATATTTTGCAATAGATGATCATATTCCTACAACTACAGGCACCAACTTATAGATGAACCCTTAGTAGTTTAGTGTTAATTAATTCTCAGAATGCACATCAAAATTGTTCTGTAGTTACGTAGTTATATAGATACCATTCCAAATAAAGTTCAATCTGCATACCCCTTGGTAGAATCCAATGGCAACACCACAGTGCAGTGCTGCAATCTGGTTAACCTTCTCGTAGATGTGAGCCAAAGGTAGATATGAGATATACCTGAGGAGAGTGATCCACAAAGTTATTGTCACAAATGTTAAGAGCTGATGTGAATTGGATAAGTTGATCAAGCACAAACAATTTTATTTGAGTGTATATGCAAAATACTAACACATCGGAGGGGTAAAACTTAATGTTCAGGCTTGATCCTGCTACATTTGCAATTAAGTTCTCATGAGAAAGAACAACTCCCTGGGAAAAAATGATATCCAACATCAGAGATCTGAAATATACAACTCTACAAGTAACAGAACTTTGCTGATGAAGCAAAGAACAATCGAAGGATGGATGATTTACCTTTGGCGTGCCAGTAGTGCCACTAGTGTAACAGATAGTGGCAACATCTTCAGGTTTTGGCGGACGAAAATGTTGAGGACTGGTCTTTCCCTGAGTTTGAAGAATTGAAGGATTACAGAAAACAAGGGTGCACAATATATAGGAGCAAGTGGAAAACAGAAGGTGATGTGCCCTTCTTTATTCAAAATTAAAACGCCAATGACAATGTATTAACAACTTAAAACATTCAATTCCATAAATGAAAATTTTAATATGGAAATGCATACACATTTATATATGTGCAAAGTAAAGGTAATTTCCAGCTTGAGCATGCTATGTATGCCTATAACCATCAAATGCATGTATGTCTATAACCATCAAGGAGAACATTTGATCTGTAATCTCATGTGTACTTTGCATACAACGAGTAAAATGAGAACTCCCCTAAAAAAACAAGTAAAACAAAAACAACTGACCCCTACAGCCATACAAGCATGCAGATACAAAAATTTCAGGTTAATCTGAACTGGAAGATTCAGTTTGCATTCTAGATAGATCTAACTTCCACTCAACAAAGGATGGTAAAGAAATCATGGCATCCCACGTATAAAATCTAGGAACATAATACAAATAACATAAGTACATATGTGCGGCTTAGGTGTGAAATCACACCAACTTTCTAAGGGCCAAACTCTTGAAGCACATAGGCAAGGAAAAAGAACAAGAAGAAAACAGGGAACCAAAAGGACATGGGATACTTATAGTTGAGTGCATCCACAAATCTGACTTAGGCCATTCCAGATTAATGACAATGAAAATGGCTGCCATGCAGTTGTATCAAAATTTCCTTAAGTTCAGGTACATTGAGAAATAAGGGTATCCACTTCAGTAAAATCATGCAGTTTATGAGAAGCAACTTATACCATGGTAGCCTTTACCCCTTTATGTAGTGTTTGAAATAGTTAAAAGAGAAAAATCATCATGAGCACCTGGATGAGCAGCCTGGAGTAAGTTATGACTTCCACTCCAGTAGTAACTGGCGTTGATGGCATATTTGCATCATCTCCACCAACTACCTAGACAAAGAAACTAGGAAAATTAAGGAGGAAAGGTCCTTGAATAATCATGAATATTACATTGTGTTTGTCAACAGTAAGCAGCCCAGACTTACCACTATAAGCCGAACACATGGCATTTGAGCTATAAAACTTAACAGCTGCCATCAATAGATAACCATGAGTAAGATAATAGCCGTAAGTTCAGTCTACGTCTTTTAAATGTAGAATGACATAATAATACTATAATAATGTGAAGTTGAAAGCTAAATGGCATCAATAAACCAATGTAGCTTTTCAAAATAAGAACAAAAATTTTATTCTTTAAATATCAGGCCCCAGTATCCACAAGATTAACCATATCTTTCATGTATATGGGCCTGCAAAAAGGTTGTCATGGCTGCCACTTGTCCCATACTATACGATGTTTTTTATGCTAGAGAAACCTGTTATCAGAGTAATACAAGTACAAATAAAGAATGGCCCGAATCCCTGGAGCAGTTCCAGCCTCACTAGTTATGACTAAGATGACTTCTGACATGCAGCCTCATCATAGGCTTCATTTGCAAATTTTATTTTAGGAACTAGTAATTGTCGAAGGTTGAAAGAGAGAAGTGATTAAAGCTCACAATGCTTAGAGTTTGAGGCACACAGAATATTACTTCCACCGCTGCATGGTTCACGATGAATTGAACAGCATCTGGGCCTGAAAGTACAAATGTACAATACACAAAAACTGTCACTAGACAAATCATAAATGAACAAGAGAACTATAGTATAGTCATTCTGTGTTGTGAACATACCGAGAGTGTCATAAAGTGGCACAGATACATATGAATATGCAGAACAAGCATGGTCAACTATAACCCACTCGGGTCTGTTTATAAAATACAGACCAATGCATGCACCCTGATTCCAAATAGAAATGTGTTTGGCGACGAAGCTCAAATATACTGCAATAATATATCTGTTTTGTTAAGAACAAAAGGACAAGTGCTTGTTCAGATCATGATTACTCACTTCACGAACTCCATGATAGATAAGACCAGAACCTATTGCAGTCCTGCTCGTGCTAGCTTCTCCGTATGTCATCCATTTGTAGCTACAAACATTATTTGTCACTTGCACAAATCAGTCAATCAGTTTGGATAAAAAGGACACTGCAGGCAATAATAAGGCATTTATTAGATAGCTAATCCTTACTCTCCAATTGTCCCATCAGTTCTGATTCTTGTTCCCAGGTATTTACAGTCTGTAAAAGTCTCAACTGCATACCTGCAAAATTTGGGAAAATGTAACATTTTGCCTAAAAGATTACGACGATTTCTCACAAAATAAAAACAGAACTTTCCACAAAAGTTTTAGATGGAAAATAAAGAGATAAAAAGTCAGATTGAAGAGAGAAGGTCCCAGCCTCTTACGTGAAATTATCATGCAGCGTTCCAATGTCTGGGGTGTCGGGATATCTACTTATCAGCCTTAGAGGTGAACGCGTGGACCTGCAAGACAACAACAGGAGCCACGAGCCGTCACAGGAGCCACAGAACAACACTGTATCTCATAACACGAAGCACGTACCGGTACACGTTCCACTTGCCGGTTTGCAATTTCTCAGGGAGAACAACACTGTAGCCCTGCGCTGAAAAGGTTTCGTAGAGTGGTCAGTAACAGTAATCTGCTTCTGAGGACACTATGTTTTTGAAACTGAAACTGTACATAGTTATCTGGGATGAGGACAATGCGAACTGCATCGTCAACCCAAACAAGCGCGGTTGAAATGGAGCAGAGATAAGGTGGCAGTGGGCACATTGAAGAGACGAACGAACAAACGAACCGTGTATGAAACAGGTAGCAGCAGTATCATATACATGTATCCTTAATTAGTACTTCAACTCTGTTTGTGGCCTTGTGGGCATGAAGGTTAGACTTTAGAGACTAGAGAGATACGATTGTTTAGTGTAGGCTAGTGGCCTTGCTCGATATGATAATATATACTAACATACAGAGCGGTTCCGAAAGCATGTGTACTTTTTGTTATTTTATTTACTGGTATAATATAAACAGTTCAATTTACATACAAAGTATATTCTCGTTCTCACTAGGATAAATGTACAGAGATGTTCACTCATAGTAGTTTGCTGCGCCTTGGCTGTCAGTCAACAGGGATGGGTATGATACTAGGAAGCATAGCATAGCAGTACATCACAGAGGAGGCGCACAACTGACACTAAACTTCCCCAGACGCCTTAATAAAGAGTTTGACTGGATCTTGACACTGACAGAGCACAGACATACGTACTAGATAGAGTAAAATGAAGCGAAAACTCCAGGTTGCAATCAGACGCAACATCTATGTATCGATCCCCTAGCTGGAGCGAGCAACCCCCAATCCATTCTCGTATTCTCCGTTGGCAATCGTTGAGACGAAAGCTGGGACGGCGCGCGGCGAACAAAACAGCAGGCGGCGGGGCGGAATGGAAGCTGACGGCAGGCACACGGGGGAAGGGAAAGGGAAGGGAGGTAGAGCGACGCACCGTGGACGTACTCGGCGGCGGTGGGGTTGACGGCGAGGCCGCCGCAGCCCCCGGCGGGCGGCGGCGGCGGGCGCTGGAGGTGGGCGGTGGCCGCGCCGACGCGGCGGCGCTGGGCGGCGTCCTCCATTGCGCGCGGTTGGTGGCTGGGCGGTGGGGATTTGGCGGCTCTGCGACAGGTGGATGGTGGATGGTGGATGGTGGATGGCGGATGGCTCTCGGTGGGGGGCGGGCGCTGGAGTGGAGCAAGTTGATTTGACTTTGGTTGGGGGTTGCGTTGCGTGGAGGGCAACAAGGGAGGACGGTGAGGAGCCCAGCGGCCGCAGGCGAGGCAAGCCCAAGCAGAAATGTATCTACTCTCGGATATCCCCCCGTCTTTCTCAGTCTCACGCTGAGGCTGAGCTGACCACGCGAAGGGGAGGGGGAGACAGGCAGAGAGCTCAGCTGAAGAGGAGAGTCGATTTCTCGGTACGGATGTCTGGAGCGGGACTAGGGGCGTGTTTGGGAGGGTGGCTGAGGCCGGCTTGGCCCGCCCTCCCCCAGGCCATGGCAGGCCTGCCTCAAGTGGAGTTCTTGTTTGGCAACCTGTCTGGAATGAATCAGGCCTAGATGAGATTGTGTTTGTTTGTACAAATGCAGCCGGATTGAGAAGCCAACTAACCCAACTACCAAAGTGAGATTCTGTTTGGTTGTTGGCTTCACTCGGCCAGGGCCATAGTCAGGATGGAAAAACACAGATGCAACAATAGAATGAGCAAGACAATGAGATCCATGACAACAGTTTGCAACGAATTAGGCATACAATTAGTGCGGTTAACAATAGCAGGCCTCAGACAAGTTTAACATGGAGTCATTGCTGCTGTAATTAAACAACAGTACAAATGTAGCAAGCCAAAATAACAACATCCGCGGCCTAATTACTAACCACAAGTGCTACAACAACACATACTACAAAGTTAACAGGAAGGGAGGACTGAACTAAGTAAGGCAACAGCAGCTCTTCCATCAGTTGTTAATCATCACAGGCCTAAGTGGGGCACTCGTAGGAGCCAGTACTGCCCCTCTTCATCGAAATCCCAAACACCAAGATCACTAGACATGTGATTAACACCTTCTTCCACCAGGCAGACTTACCATTACCATCAGAAGGAGGGATGATTGAGCAAAAGCATCATGAGCAACATGGTCATAGGGGAGGGGAGGTGCTGGTGCATGAGATCGATGCACATCTCTCATGGATGCCTGGTAATCCCTAAGAGCCTGGTCATAGTTGTGATATTTCTTGTAAACTGCACCTCTCACCCCAAGCACATACCTACTGCACTCCTGCCAGCTCTGGTAAATCCCAGGATGCTTGCCATTGAAAACAACATACCAGGCAGCCATTTCTGTGAGATCACAGAGTGTTTAGCCTCAATCAAAATTAAAGCTTGATGATGACCAGCATCACTTAACTTCATATGTATTGTAATTGACATCACATGCAATGTAAATAAATGTTGGCCTCAGCTTTAGCATGTGGTGGTGATCACTGAGTGAAAATCATTGGTGGCTGCCATAGGAACTAAAAACCAGTTTTCCAGCAAATCCAAACTCATGGCTGCCATGGAATCCATGGACACATCCATACACTGCCATCAGCATAGCAAAGAAGTGGCTGTTGCATAGGGTATGGATGTGTCCCGCGGATTTGATGACATACATGACAAATCAGCAAAATCAAGTGCAAATCCATAACCATGACTGCCATCGAACCCTATTGTGCGCATCCATTCATTGCCATCAGCAAAAGATAGAACTTGTTGTTGCTAAGTGAATGGATGGGCACACATAGGGCTCTATGGCAGTGATGAAAAACAAGAAGAAGCAATTCAGCAAAGGCAGCCACCTCATGAAATTTTTCTTTGCGTCATTGGCCTTTATCATCTCCCACAGTTACCACCAATCAAAAGAAACAAAACCAATAGTTCATATGCAAGAAAATGAGGACCAACTGAACTAAAATAAAGTAGCCAACAGAGGCTACAAATAGTGCCTTACAACATGAATGTCTTGCCCAATAGTTCTGGGCTCAAATCCCTTCCAAGCTGCCTTGCAGCACATATAGTTAGCCACCCTCCCAAGAAAAAACCCAAAAGGACAGGTATGGGTCAGCCAAGTAACCTGCACAAAATACCTACAGCTCAACTGTAGTCAAAAGAAGAGAGAGTGGGTGAGGGAGGTGGAGGAACTATACATCTCAACAGTCAACCCCTCAATGCACATGCTTGCCAACATGTGTAGGAATTATATGTAGTAGTTCTTGGCTAGGTAGTTCCTAAGCCAAATGTCCCTATGGCTATTATCATGCCAATAAAGCCCCTGCCTTGGGCCTTGTTGTCCAGCAGGAAGGTGTAGGCAACTATTAGTGCCTCTTTAGTAAAACCAGGCATCTCCATCACAGCAAGGTAGAGGTCAGCATCAACATGGGCTGGTCCAGTCTCCCTAAGAGCATTGGCAACATTGTTGACGGCATCAGACATATTGGTCAACATAAGCATCTCATCCTCACTGAAGGTACCTCTCTTTCTCTTTGCACCCATAGCTGAGGAGATGAGCTCTATGGCCTTGCTGCTGCATCCTACATCTGTGTGGATCTTCTCAGCAGGAACATGGATAAAGGAAGGACCATCTACCTTAGCAGCAACACTGTCAGCCTAGTTGCTCCCTAGGGCTTTACTAGAAGCAAGTGCAAACCTACCAGTGGCCATAGCATGGCCAAAGATGGACTCTATCTCCATGTAGAACCTTATAGGGTAGTTTAGAAACTCTGCATCTTTAGGATGGTCCTGCAGTAAGGGGGAGGGAGGGGAAGGGTACAGTTTTAGACAAGTAATGGAAAGACAGGTACAAGGACACATAGGAAAGAAAACAAAGTTCTTGTAGTGGCTAAGGTAGTGCTTCTGCTCAAGCATGATAGCATTGGTGTCACCATCCCATAGTGCCCCACTGAGGTCCTTGAGCTTACAGACCCTAGACCACTTCTGCCTCCACTTCCTCAGGTGCTTATACACCTGAGTTGGGGTTACTGCCTCCCCACTATACTCCTTAAGGGCTTTGGCAACATGGTTAACATCTTTATCCTTGAATACTTTGCCAGGCCTACTACCATCACTAACAAGCTGAGCCATCCTCCTAAGGACAAAGCCAGAGGTGTTGCTGTTCCACCTCATGGCCCTAGGAACCCCTGCAGTAGCACCAGCACCAGCAGCCCCATCACCTACTGCTGCAACAGTAGCTCCATCAGCAGGTGCTACAACAGCAGCACCATCACCACCTACTGCTACACCAGCACCACCATCACCCCCTGCTGCTGCAATAGCAGCAGCAACACCACCCCCCAACAGACCATTTACTAGATCAAAAGCAGCCACAAACCCACCTTGGGCACCAAGTAGATCAACTAGGAGTGGAGCCATCCTATTTGTTATTGCAATTTCAAAGTAAGTAGGAGAATAACATGAATAGACATAAGCTTTGGCCATGGGACATAGCCATACAATAGGAGCATCATAATTGATCTATGATGCTACCACTGTATGGCTGAGTTTCATGGCCAAAGACCATGAAGTAGTGACACATGACAAGGAAAAAATTTGGTCTCAGCCTTGTCCAACAGAGTATTACATAAACATCACACAAACATGAGTTCCATAGCAGGAAAATCAAACTGAATTTAATAACAAAGTTACTGCATGATCAGATCCTAGAGATACCCCTCCCTTCCCACATAGCATTACAGATGTCATCCCTTCTAAGTGCCATGGCATTAGAGTCTTGGGAGTGGCTGTCATTACTGGGCAGGTTGTCAAGTGGGTCAGGTTGGCTGCCAGTGAAACCCTCTTCAGGTGGCACAACTTAGTCAATACCAAAACCTAGGATCCAATTGTGCAAAATACAGCAGGCCAATACAAGCTTGACCTAAGTCTTGTGTGGGTGAAAGGGCTTGTTATCTAGGATACGAAACCTGTTCTTCAGTGCACCAAAAGCCCTTTCCACAGTGACCCTTAGTGATGAGTGCCTTAGGTTGAAAAGCTCCCTTGCATTGGTTGGGTAGTTTCTGCTCCCAAACTCAGTCGAGTGGTACCTGACCCCCCTATAGGAGGGTAGGAAGCCACTTCAGCATACATAGCCAGCATCTACCAGGTAGAATTTACTTACAATTGGACAACTACTGTGAGTGTGTGTGCCAATCTTAAGGATAAGTGCATTGACTAGGTAGTGCAATTACCTTCAGGTACAGTTGTCGGCGCGAAAACGTGGTAGCCACGCTGGGTGGACACGCAGCAAGCCGGAATGATATGAAGATCTACCTAGCTTCAACGCAGGACCAGTCGATCCTACGAATTCCTAAGGGTGTGCCAGTCAATTTGACCTGCAATTGACAAGGAGAGAAAGTTTATCAATAATTTAGGGTGTAACATGCTGGTTTTGCCCAGACAGTTCCAAGTGTGCCGCTTCGGGAGCAGCCAAACGGGAAAATCGACTAAATAGCCGACACGAGAAGAAATCGACTGTTAAGGGCTATAACGCTCGCGTGTCATGATTAATTTTATAGTAACGAATACAATGCACCCGGTTTTAATGATCCTTTCTCTTAAGCTATTAACATGTATGCGTCAAAGATACATCACTGGCTAAATTAGATTTGATCAATACATGGTGTAGAGCCAATGAATCCGATGAAAAGGGATATGCCACGCAAACAATCGACTGTTTGATATAGACAAATCTACGAACTGTCTAGATCTAATCTATTACCGTCAACAGTGAGGTTCGACCGGATCGATGCAGCTATGATGATGATGATAGTCTAGAACCAAAAAATCCATAGAACCGACCATACTTCAACAGGTTCATGAAAGCGTGCCATATCTGTGAAAGCACAGGCGAATCGGCTAAAATAGCCGATTTAGGTAGAAAATGGATTATAGCATGTGAACAATCGACTGTTTAATATGGATAGATCTATAAACTCATCAAATCTAATATGTTATCCTTAACAGTGGGGTTCGACTGGATCGATGGCAGCCATGATAAAGATAATAGATCAAACCTTTAAAATAAATAGATCTATTCACATTTAACAGA